AATCTCGCGAGATTTAGCGGCCCCACACTACAGATATAGCTTATGGTCCTAGCAACCGGTCGTAAAGTAACTTAACGTATAGAAGCGCTTTGTCTGTGATAAAGGACATTGTGTATATTTAAATATGTAAGGTCGAACACGACACTATTGTCGCTATCACCCGAGAAATCTGCATCATTTAAGAGAGACCATAGAATGCCGCAGTTAGCATAGCTACATAGCTTCGCCTGGGACAACGTGAAGAGCATCTCTACTGAGCGACGTCATCTAATCCAGAGTTACAGTTTGGTTCACGATGAAGTGTCACTATGAAATATTGGATGTGAAACGAGACGCAGGAGACGGTGACTTGAAGAAAGCGTATCGTAAATTAGCATTGAAATGGCACCCCGGTAAGCTGTGGTAGAAATCATTCAATGACCTGTCAGTTAGCTAACTAAGTGTAACGCTACTGTCGTAAAAATACAATATTTACTACCTCTGAAATGTATTGGAGGTCCTACATTTATACTTCTGAGTGACAACAACTAACAGAAAGCACCCACTGTTGATGTTGTTTATTCTTGCAGCAACACGTAACGGTGTTATCTCCAACCTTACAAAGATAAAATGGAATTTCACTTAAGTTTTTCATTTGAACAACAGCTGTGGTTTACCGTCTGACATTTGCAGATAAAAACTTGGACAATGCGGATGATGCGGCGGAGCATTTTAAGCTGATTCAAGCAGCTTATGATGTCCTGAGTGATCCGCAGGAGAGAGCCTGGTGCGTTACAACAGAGTCACAATGGTTTAGCTCCTACTCCTGTATTGTTTGGGTTAAGTTCGTACATCTTACTGTCTCCTTCTGTGTCGCAGGTATGACAACCACAGGGATGCTCTGCTGAAAGGAGGAATCAGTGGAGATTATGAAGATGACAGCGTTGACCTGCTGCAGTACTTCACAGTCACCTGCTACTCTGGCTTCGGCGATGACGAGAAGGTGAGCTCGTGTGATCGTGTGTGTGCAGGGATCGTGTTGCTCAGTACTGACAAACGGTCACATCAAACCTTCAACCAGGTGTTTTTTTCAGTCCCCTGCTTGAGACAAGGATGATGCCACAAAACTTGATGAATCTGCTGATTTAAAAATAAGACGATGTTACCCAGGAGTTGTGGCACCACCTGACTAAATAACAAGTCAGATTGTCTGTCCTTGTTGGTAGACATTACAAGAGGAAGCAGTAATGAGATTATCAAAAATGCTGATAAAAGACAATTTACCCCATCTGCAGGAATGTTGGCAAGCTTGGAATTGTGCCCCACTTACAAAGAAAACATCCAGTCTCCTTTTTAGTATGCAAGACCACGCAGACAGTCTACCACACAGGGAATAGAGCCAAGATTTGATGAAACCCGGGTAGAATTTTTTTGGTTTGATTTCCAATCACCGAGTACACCTCCTTAACGCCAGGACTTGCCGTTCTGGCTGGTGGTGGCAGGTTCATTCTTTAGGACTTTGGGGACAGAAATTCACTGTGCATCTATTTTCTCATTAATTATTCCCTCTTGTTTTGATCTACTCTCTGTCCCCTAGGGCTTTTACATGGTCTACAGGAATCTCTTTGAGTCCATTGTTAAGGAGGAGATGGAGCAGGGCAAGGTGGATGAAGAGGAAGAAGAGGAGGAGTTTCCTCCCTTTGGAGACTCTCAGAGTGACTACGACAGCGTAAGCCAGCACCACACTCAAAACTCTCGAGGTTGTTCCTCTGTTGGATGATGTAAGAGTTGTTTATATGATTCAGTTACATGATTAAAATAGTAAGTTTTCTGTGCTTCTTTCTCTGAGTGAAAACTAAAGTATAGCAAGAAAACCTTATTAATCGACTTGTGTACTTAACCACTCTCTCCATTTACAAATTGCAGGTAGTGCACGTGTTTTACGGCTACTGGCAGAGCTTCTGCACTCGCAAAAACTTTGCCTGGAAGGAGGAGTACGACACGAGGCAGGCCTCCAACCGCTGGGAGAAGAGGGCCATGGAGAAGGAGAACAAGAAGACCAGAGACAAGGCTCGCAAAGAGCGCAACGAGCTTGTGCGTCAACTCGTGGCTTTTGTTCGCAAGCGCGACCGCCGCGTGCAGGCCCACCGGAAGCTGGTGGAGGAGCAGAACGCTGAGAAGATCAAGAAGGTGGAGGAGCTGCGGCGGAAGCAGAAGCTCAGCCAGGCCAAGTAAGCGGTGGATGGGTAAATGTGACCTTTAATTTTTTTTCCTTGTTTCTCCTTAATACTCATAATACTTTACTGTATGTCCCAGACTGGCAGAGGAGTACAAGGAGCAGAAATGGGCGGCCATGTCTGAACTTGAGAAGGAGCTGCAGCAGATAGAGGCTCAGTATGGAGAGGAGTTTGGAGACGCATCGGAGAGTGAGGAAGACGACCTGGACGTGGACACACGGGAGAAGAACGGCGAAGAGGGAGGAGGTCAGTGAGACGTTTGAGGTTTAAGCCTAATTCATACATCTGTTTTAATGTTTTTTTCTGGTGTTTTAATCTTTTTTTTATTCAACGCATCAACATTCGTTCACAGAAGCAGATCAGCCCGACGGAGACAAACTGACAATTGATGATTATTATGATGGTCTGTACTGCCCGGCCTGTGACAAATCCTTCAAATCCGATAAAGCGTGAGTAACCGTTGACTAGTTGCAAGCTAGTTCACCTCGCTTCTTTTAATGATATTGTTGGTACTTGTTGGAGATTATAATGCAAATCTGCAACGGGTGTTTTTGCACTTCACACACTGCTAAATCTGTTATTAAAGCAGTTTGCATTTCTTATTTTCTTTCCTTTGTATAGAATGAAAAACCATGAAAAATCCAAAAAGCACCGGGAGCTGGTGGCATTGCTACGAAAACAGCTGGAGGAAGAGGAGGATTCATTTGGTCTCAACTTGAACGGGAAGGAGGGGATAGAGGAGGACGAGGAGGAAGAGGATGAGGAAGACAAGCCAAGGCAAAAGTGAGCAGCTTTCTTTCTTTTCACCCGGTGGTCAGAGCGGTTAGAATAACCTGATGATTGCATTTTAATTTCTGACATTTTTCTTTTCACTTACTCAGGCTGTCCAAAAAGCAAAAGAGAAAAAATAAACTGCAGAAAGTAGTACAGGTGAGTCATATCTTTTCTTATGGTTAAGTGTGAAGTGAACCTAAAAAGCTGTCTATGTATTCACGCTGTCCTCCTCCATAGCAGAGTGCTCCTGAGGTCGAGGAGGAGGAGGAGGAGGAGGAGGAAGAGGAAGAAGAAGAAGTGGAAGTGGAGGAAGTGGAGAAACCAACACCAACCACCTGCGAGGACGAAGCCCCCGAGAAGTCGGAGAACACAACAGAGCCTGAGAAGCAGGACGATCCCCCTCCTGCAGAAGTCAAGAAGTCAGTCGTTTTAGTTATTAGTTGTTTGTTGATGGGCTGGTAGTGAACAGTTAGTTCAGTCGAGCCTTTTCGCCTGTTGGAAATGAGCTTGACGGGAGCGTTTATGAGAAACTGCAGAGGCAGCTGGTAATTCTAATGTCTCAGTTACAGAAGACGCTACTCAGTGTGTGAAATACGTGATTCAACACCGTTATTTCCTGAATTATATTTGGCAGGATTAGAGTTTTAGATTAAATGGTGTATCCATGTAGTTAAGAATGTGGTTTTTACTTATCCGTCATCTAAATGTTGCCTCTGCAGCTCTGGGAAGACGAAAGGAAAAAAGGGAGGAGGAAAAGACAAACCGAAGAGTGTCAAGTCAAACGCAGGAGGAGAACCGACTCTTGAGGTTTGTACAGTTACACCAAGAGTTTAAGAGGATTAATGGGAGTGGTTTGTATTGATCATTTTACATTCAATAATTTTATTATTACAAATGTCTTCTGCTTACACATGCGTCCACAGCATCCGTTTTTACTTTCCCCTTCCTTCTGAGTTATCAAAGATAACCTTATTACATAATTTACCATTAGAAAATGGTCCCTGCTTATATTATTAAATCACATTTCCACCTCCAGACTGAAGGGAGCCTCTGCTGTGTGACCTGCAACAACGAGTTCTCCACAAGAAACAAGTTGTTTGACCATCTGAAGGCCAGCGGCCACGCCATCGCTGTCTCCTCAAACGCTCCCCACAGCTCCGTGAGCAAGAGCAAAAAAGACAAGAAGAAGAACAGATAACACATCTGGATCCGGGCAAAGGGTGTGACTCAGCAGGGACACAGGAAACTCTGTGAAGGGAAATAAACTAAAAGAAGCCTTTGAAAGTGGACTTTTAATGGACTGGCTGGCTGACTCCCAGGGAATAGCTTTTTGTGTTTTCAAATTACCCAATAATCCTGTCGAGTGAGACAGTTATGTATGTGTGAGTATATTTCACAGTAACATGTCTCTGAAAGAACATACAGGATGTGCATAGGATACATCCTGTTATCAGATCCTTTACTGGTTTGGAGAGCTCTGTAGTGGTATTACTGCATCATGAAAATAAAGGTGATACTGCACATTGGTATTTATACGACAACTCTGGAATGATTTACATGAATACCTCTAGTAACCATTTCTAACAATAAACTACCGTATATGTTCTATTTGTGACACATAAAAACAAAATGACATGTTTAAGCAACTATTTCAAAGCACAAGAGATCATCATTACATTCAGATATAAAGCCTGCAGAACAATCATGACAATGACAGTGGATCTAATCCGAGCGAAAAGCCGGACTGACTTATAACATGCAGATCATGTTAAAGTTCCTGTTTACAAAGTTAATAACACTGTTTGCCACAACAGGACAAACCTAATTAACCATTCAATTAACATTTGAAAGATTTACAGAAGTGCAGTCTGCTGCTGAGTGCGAGTGTTTCCAGTGTTTAGTCCTTGGCATTGAGTTACTCCTCTGACCCGTTCATTTTCTGTCCATGTAGCCGTGGACGGCCTTGTTAAAAACTGCCAGGAAGAAATCGACATCCTCCTTTGTGATGCACATGGGGGGTTGGATGCGGAAGGTCTGAAGTGGTGAGAAAAACAAGACAAAGAGAGCAGATTAACCAGGGCAGCTGCTTTATTCTGTGTCGCACAGTAAACGCAGACATTTCTGGCACATTATGATCAGAGGTAGAGCTAGGAGTATTCATGTGCTGGTTAAGGATTACAATTAAGAATTGGCTCATAATAGTAGTTATATAATGTTTATGATGTATGGAAAAGGGAGAGTGCTGTTACCTGTCCATAGAGTCCTCCTTTCCCTATCAGGACTCCCATGTCCTTTACGTCCTCAAAGATCTCACTCATTGCCTCAGGAGGCAGCGGGTCTCTGCTGGCCTGTGGATGACGGAGAACATTTAAAAAAAAAAAAAAAAAAAAAGGGTGGATGTGGCTAAATGTGTTTTATAGACTATATTTAATAAACTAACATTATGAACACTATCCATCTGCAAGTGTCAAAACAACAAACCACGTATGCTTAATGGCCTGACAGGCTACTACATCTACAATTTCCAGGCTATTCTATTGCAAAATAAATACCTTGTCTTTGACCATTTCCACACCAATCTGCAGGCCTTTTCCTCGGACGTCACCGATTATCTCATACTTGTCTCTGAGTTTTGCCAGTTCTGTCATCAGATAGGTTCCCACATAAAGACTGTTCTGCTGTGTGCCGTCTTCTTTGATGGTCTGCAACGTAAAAATCGGTCAGTTCCTGTTTAAAGTCCAAATGAAATCCCTCAAACCTCATTTTTTGAAGTAAAACATAATGTTTGTGTTTTTTAAATTCATTTATAGTCAATAGTTTTTATTATTAAGGGCCTGGGCACACCATAAATGGTGACATAGTGACTGTATTAGGGCAAGTGGGCAAAGTGTTGTAGTTTGATTGTCTGTGTAGAATCAAGTTTCATCTACTGAACTACATGAATTCGGACGAAATAATGTAAAAATAGGGGACGCCATCACGAAACAAAAAAATATAAATTCCTCCCTTTGGTTTCTGATTTTCCCCACAAACAGGATGTGATGCTGGAGCACAAAAACATTATAGAGGAGTTATAAATCAGTGTGCTTGAGTGACTGTAGACTTTTTAACCGCAGCTATAGGCTAAGTACATTTTTTTATCAAATGAAACTCTCTTGTGCTAATGAACAGCACTGATGTGAAAACAGAAGATGAATTCTTACGTCAAGCACTGATGAAGCAACAGCACAAGCCACAGGACTTCCTCCAAAGGTGTTGAAGTGGAAGGCCTTACCAAAGGAGGCAGCAATTTCTGGAAAACACAAACAAACAAGCTCACACTTCCACCCACTGCGGCCTCAAACAAGATTTTTTCTGTCTTATAGTATTATCTCACCTGGTGTTGTAACAACAGCTCCTATTGGGAACCCATTACCAATGCCCTTCGCCATCGTAACCATATCAGGAACGACGTCGTGACCCTGGAAGCCCCAGAAGTGGCTTCCTGTTCGCCCAAATCCAGTCTGGACCTGTCAGGTGCAAAACAAAGAAACCAAGCTCTGTGAAGTACGTTCACACATTGAATTTTACCTTTTGAGGTAACATGATAAAGGCCAATAGTGCCTCCTCTTACCCTTGTTACATAGTGTTGGCTTTATGTTATTAATTTTTGAGCATAACATAACTTTGGGGATCTAACCTCATCGGAAATGCAGATCCCTCCTCTTTCTCTTACAAGTTTGTAAGCCTCCTTGAGGTAGTTTTTAGGGTACTGCACAGCTCCTCCCATTCCCTGCACAAACAAAACTCATTCACATCCCACAGACCCATCTTGATCAACACAAGCAGTCATACTGACCATGAGATAACAATGATCATCAATGGCACAATAACAGTTGTGACTTTTTCAGGTCAATACCAACTCCAGATAAGGATTTCGTACCTGAATCGGCTCTGCAAAGAAACCAGCAATTTGACTTGGGACACTCGTAGCAAATGTCTCTTTAAGCTGTCCAATGTACTGGTCATTTGCCATGCAATGACCTGTGGGATTAAAAAGGAAATTATTTTAGTGACGTATAAATGCAATATAACCAAAATACTTCTTAATACATTACAACACAGAAGGGCTGAGCAATTAATCAATACATTGATTCATGTCTTTCCATATGATACAAAAGTATTGACAATTGTCCCATATCATAATTTGCCGTGGAAGTTTAACATTATATTGTTGGAGGAATATTGCAGAAATTCTCATAGAGCTTAGTCCCACTGATAATAGTGATGAATTAGCCTATTCATGAGAGCACCATGAGAGATAACCAGAGTGTATATCGAGCCACGTGTGCACGTGTTTGTGTACCTTGGGCACAGTCACAGTCTCTGATGGTCTGCACAGGAGAGTCTCTGCAGTGGCTTCCTCCCCACGGACCTCTGAACACATCAGGATTCATGGTCTGTTTGTTTGGGGCAGAAACCGTAGTCAGCTAGATCAACCTGACAGCAACAGTCACTCATAATGAACGCAGCACGAAGAAATCATCATGAAACTTGGATGGCTTGGATTGCCATCACCAAGGTCAGAAAAGATCTATTAATGCACGCAGACAGCTTGTACTGTTTGCTTGTATGGATGGTTAGTGCAGCCTGTGGCTCGCTGCTGTTTACATTTAATGCTGAGCGAGTAACCTGCACAGAGAGCATCGTTAATGGTGGCATCATGTGTTTGGGGTTTGTGTTTGGATAAAGTGAGTAGCAGCATTGAAGATGCACATAGATGAAAGATGCTGGTCTTGTGAACTTTGCCATGAAGCTCCTTTGTAGCCGAAATGTAAAAGTAAAACTGTCTGCTAGAGATGTTCAGTGCATACAAACGGCTCTTTCACAACAAATCTCTAAGCTGAGCTGATTATTCTCAATCACCATCGTCACTGAATAAATCAGCAGCTTTTAGCACCTAGAAGATCCTCTCACTGGTGACTGAGAGAGGAGCATGCACGCAAAAGACTGAAGAGTTGACTATGATTAATGATGAGTTTTTTATGTTGTGTTGTATACATACATGTGTGCAGCCTAAACTAGTGGCGGCGGGGTATTTATATGGTGAGTTGGAGGTAAGACCCATGGTCTGTTGGGTGCCACCGTGGTATGATCCTCTGGAGGATAAAAACAAAACAAACAAAAGAACAATCAGAAACATTTTGAAAATTTAAAGCAATTATTGCTAAAAACAAACATAAGGATACTAGACTTGTACCTGAAAGTGATGATGTCAAAGTTTCCCGTGTGAAGTCGAGCCATCAGCATGGCCAGGTCATTGGCTTCTGAGCCGCTGTTGGTCAGATATATCACCTGGACAGGGACACAAAGACCAGCAGATATTTTAATCACAGCATACCTATTCATCCAGGATCCTGGTCTCAGCTGATCGGGGGAAACAAATCCACCAAAGTACCTTGAGAGGATCTGGCAAGTAGGACGCTAGTTTCTCACAGTACTCATGGAGAGTAGGATGGACGTAGATGTTTGTAGTGTGCCACAGTCTCTTCAACTGTCTCTGTGTGGCTGCTGTCACCTTCCTGTGCACAGATGTCAGGGTCAGAGCAACAATATACACTCATTTTTTGACTGATAGAATTAGACATGATATCACAGCAAAGAAAAAAAGGACCTTACGGGTGGCAGTGGCCCAAACTGACAGTAGCCACACCAGCAAATAGATCCAGGTATCGCTTCCCGTCCACATCCCACAGCCACTGCATGTGTCCCTGGTGGATGAACACTGGTTTCTTATAGTAGGTAATCTTCATGGTCACGGGGTTGCAGTTCTGTCTGCGGATCTCCATCATCCGCTCTTTGGACATACCCTGGACAGAGACAAATACACAGGAAAATAATGACAGTACTCATGGAAGACCTTCTCAATAAAATAGATTTGTTTTTGGTTCTGAGTTAAATGGCTGTCTCCACGAAATTGAATACTGACATTCAAGGTCCACAGAGGAGATGAGTGCTGATTATTGAGTTGATCCCCTGAACTTTCTTGTAGCGCCACCACATACTATACTGAAGCCCTATTAGAACCCTGTCTGGATGCCACAACACTCTTACCTTGTATTCCTCTGGTTTGAAATCGCATGAGGGCATCTCTGCCAAGCCTGCAGGATGATATTTGAGGGCTGATTTCTGACATACTGCACCTATAAAATGGTTTCGATGGAAATGCAGAAAGAGGTAAAGGAGATTGTTAGCTCTACTGCTATCGGAGTGTACAATAAGCACATGGGAGGTGTGGACTTATCAGACCAGATCCTGGGATATTACTCGGGCGCATCACAAAACTATGAAGTGGTACAAAGCGCCGTTTCATCACTTTGAGGACATTGCTACTATAAACAGCTACATTCTCCACAGGGAAATGTGTGCTGTGGCACACAATATTCCCATGAACCACCAGGATTTTCAGGAGCTGCTGTCAGCTCAGCTCATGGGAGTACCACAGGACTTTTCTTCTATAGGAAGAGGCAATAAAATCACACACACGTCACAATGTCTCCAACGCAGGAGCAATCCATAAAGAGGACTGCAGGATGCAGAAATAAATAAATAATCCAATTTTCTTTTCTAAATTGAGATGTTATTTTGAATATAGATTTTTCTGAATAAATTAAATATATATACATTTTTAATGGGCTAATATCCCCTATTATAGTGTATATTAGCCTTTACTGAGTGACTACAATTAGCTGAGGTTGTGCTGATCCTGGGGAAGTGAAAACTTGATACTGTAAAAATTACGACTTTATCACACAAAGCACAAAGTATGCAAAAATGGAACGTCTTGATTTGGATCTCAGTGGTCTTTCTAATCCAGGCTCTACTGTATATTTGTGGCATTATAATCAGATGAAATTGGCATTTCCCATTGAATTCCTGAAAAGACTTGTAGCAGTGGAAAGCGAATCAGAGATTTGGAACCAGGCTACCTTTTATCTGAATTCAATATTTAATCCAATTATAACATGGTTAATGGTTTAACCACATTAAGTTCACATTCTGCAACTCAGTAAGAACTGCTTCCTGTTTTTCACAGTCTACTCATGGCTGGAAATGTCAGTTAGAACTGGTCTGACAAATATATAATTTATATTATTAAATAAAATGTAATGCTGTTACCCTCTGGAGAAAACGTTTCATTTGATCACAGAAAAGTGGAGATTATGAAGTCTTAGTCACTATGTACATTTTTCAAATAAGAAAATATGACTAAAAGTATTTCCTGCAATGTGTGCAACATTCTCTGCTTCTATAAAATTTGATGCAGTTGACTTAATTCCTACTTCACCATATCAAGTCTTTTTTTTTGAGTAGCAGTGAGAATACAATATATTACTTAGCGTGGTGCACCAATCTCTACTGCAGCCTATAAAAACACTGTTAAACCAACGATTATCTCTGATTCCTGAGTTTCACCCAAACAGACAAATTATCATAAATTCTACAATAACATCATCTAATTAATTCATGAGCCAACAAGCAAAATGTATTGCCACCTGATATTCTAAGCTTACTATGACACAGGCTACACTTCATAAAACACCTCCGATCATCAGCAACAGATCATGATCAACTTATTATGTGTTTCTCCATCTTCATGGTAACTTACCACTTCCCAGGTGAAGTTTGGCCAAACCAGGTGAACAGCAAGGCTGCCCTGTTAAAACCGCACAACGGCCTCTTAGAGAAGAAACAACTTTAAACATGATCAGTGAGTACGGAGGGCCCGCAGCTATCCTACTCCCTTCACCCCCTAACACTCAACAGCAGACTTACTTCAGGCTCTTCTTTTTCTAAAAAGTCTCAAGGATGGGTGGACAGTGAGCAGCCAATGGTACCCAGAGCCTACCAAACTACAATGATTTCTCTGAAACGTCACATAGATAAATGTATAACCAGTCGTCACTAGATTTCTGCTAAACATGCATACTGAATAGGTTATGAAAAAAAGGCCAGATATGGTTGGTGGTGCCGGTTCATTCCTGTTTGAGGCCAGAGAAGACGCTGACCTCCCACTCTGAGGTGAGCGTTACGAAATTTAGTGTGACTGTGCTTGCTCTGCTGTAAATAGGCGGCTACTTTGATGAAGGCTGTCTTAGCGCCTGGCTGCACCTGAGAAGTGGCAGTATCCATGGCAAAAAAAAAAAACAGGATCTCTCATACTGAGCATCATGGTCTCCACAACACCTCAGGTTTGCTTCCAAAATAACACTCAGATACATCTGCTCAACCAGACATACCTCACTGACTCTTTCCATATCCACATCCACTATCATCATTTCCGTTGTTGAGTAGATGAACTAAATTGGCATTTCAACTTGTGTGAGTGTGGACTCACTCCATGTTTGGAAGATATAACTCCTAATGGCCTAAATATTACTTATTTGGGTCACATTTAATTTGATTTTACCCTTCTAGTCTGCCATTTTGAGGAGTGACCAAAAAAAGTAAAGCTATATCTATATAAATTGGATGGAACGTATCAAACTCACTCTATTGTGAACTGTACAAAAATAAGGCGCTGACCTTTTAGAAGCCCCAGTTCTAACAATCTGCTGAGCCCCACCTCGTCAAGAGTGCTAGGCAAGAAGTTCTTGTGATTGAAACCCTCAAGCCTAATGAGGGTCGCCCCTGTAAGAGGTGTAAGACTTACTCGTGAAAAGCTGACGTTTCTGTTACAGATGTAGGGGAAGCTAAAGTTTGTTTGAAACCTCATCTGGTATGGTTGGTATAGGTTGCATATAAATCCAGTCATACAGCTACACCCAGTTCACTAGAATTACAATAATCTGAATCCAATGTGTAACACCATAAGATTGTTCCTCGAGCTAACAGATTTATTATCATTACATTCACATCTATAATCAGCAACAAAACATGTGTTCGGAAATTACAATCATACATCGTTACATCCAAGCATGATTCAACAGATTGAACCAAGCAAAGTAAACTTCAAGTCAGTTGTTAAAAAGGCACTGTACAAGATTATTTTCTCGTTTATCTAGTGAGGTGTATTAAATCTAACATTGGAGAAACCAGCAAGAGAACCCAAGAATTTAAGAATTATCCAACCGAAAAACCCAGCCCAGTGTTGTCAACTCTTTTCCAACAAAGGTAGCTAGCAGTACTAGCTCCAAAAGTTGCTAACGCTATGAAGAAAGCCGGCAAGTCGGCAACCCTGACAGTTCCTTCAGGCCTCCTTCCAAAGCCACTCACCAAAAATGATCATTATAAACATAAACAACGAACATGGCTATTGCTAGTTTTTTTTTTTTTTGATGGATTGATTGCTGTCTTTTTTTCTAAAATACATTACCCACCCTAGCTTTAAGTGAATTAAGTCTTTTAATTACAACATAGTTGAACATGGTTAAAAAGTCCCCTTTTTATTACTGTTATGCAAAGGCAATAACGGATGTATAGTCTTCTTCAGAAGGTAGGTTTGTTCCTTGGTAATGAGCAACCCAGCTCGCCTTTATCTGACTTTTATCTTCTTTCCATGTAGTTGTGGATGGACTTGTTAAAAATTGCCAGGAAGAAATCTGCGTCTTCCATCGTGATGCACATTGGGGGTTTGATGCGGAAAGTCTGAAGTGGTTAAAAAAACAGAAAACAAGAAGGGAGATTATGGAGTGCCAAAGATTACCGGGAAAACATGTCAACAGGTCAGGTGCTTTATTCAGTGTCACTTAGTAAAGGCAGAGCTGACATTTCTGGAATATATGTAAAGCAGCAGACGCAGCAATATTCATAATATTAATCCATATTAAAATGTGTTATCTTGGTGAATCCTCTTGTCAAGCCACTAGCAAAAGCAACATGGCTCTATGACGATGCAGTGTGAAAAACGCCCCATTTAAAATCTAACTAGCTTTGTTCTCAACAAAACAACAAGCTCGGTGATGTCGTTGCCAGCTGGGTTTATACCACATGCTGACTCAGCAAAAAAATTAACTGAGAGAGGGGCAGAAGGTGAGTGCTGTTACCTGTCCGTAGAGTCCTCCTTTCCCTATCAGGATTCCCATGTCCTTTACGTCCTCGAAGATCTGACTCATAGCCTCAGAAGGCAGCGGGTCTCTGCTGGCCTGTGGATGACGGAGAGGAGGTGAAAGGATGAATGAGGCTGGATGTGTTACGGTAAATATGAACACTGTGCAGCTGCTTTCGTCCAATAATTATCAAATTGTGACTCAAGCACCTAACCTAATTAGCTTGAGAGTTTATAAATTACAGGCATTTTCTTCCATTGAAAATGGAGTGGTTTCTTTGTGAGGGACACCTCACCTCATGCTAGGAGGCTGTAGTTTTAGTTTTAGACTGACATTCAATGTTGGTGTATGTTTACATCTGACTACATCTGACATCGTAGTATTAAGAGCAGCAGGCGACTACAGACAGCAGGGAGAGGTTTGTCTTGCTCACGGGCTGTGTTCAAGAGATGAAGTGACACCACTCCAACCACCTGATACCTGCAGGGACTTGAACCGACAAGCCTCTGTCCAGTTCCCAAACCCAGTCCCCACTGACTGAGCTACTAATGCTGTATTTACTCCTGAATGACAACTTTTGAATTGCCAACTTGTTAAACTCACTCAGTTTCAAAAGAAGAAGAGAAGTATTTGTAAAATTGATTTGTTAATCCAGTGGGTCATAACTGCACAGCTGACAACGGCCTTAGTCCCGCCCCTGGAGCTGATTGGCTAATCGCTAGTTCTCCCGCTGCATTTATTGGTCTATTACTTTTTAATTGAAAAAAACGCTGTTTCATGTCACGATGCCAGACAAATCAGTCGACTTGAACACGATGTGGTGCAGAGTCAAAGTTCTGGACCCAAACAAGGACAGCTGTCTTACGTTGTCAGTTTGCCTCTTTTTAAAGACAATATCTGGCATTATTAACATTTAAAAACAGAACTTCAGTCAGCAGTGCATTTACTGCAGCTGAGATTGTTTTCTTCCTAATTACAGATGGTCACTGCTGCTCCAGCTAATGGTTAACTGGGGCGCTGCTGAACCATGCCCCCGGGAGGCTCAGCACATACACACGTTGTTCAAGCACGTGAGTTGAGGTGAGCATCGCTTTTGTTACAACATAAATACCTTGTCTTTGACCATTTCCACACCAATCTGCAGGCCTTTTCCACGGACGTCACCGATTATCTCATACTTGTCTCTGAGTTTTGCCAGTTCTGTCATCAGATAGGTGCCCACATTAAGACTGTTCTGCTGCATGCCGTCTTCTTTGATAGTCTGCAACGTCAAAAAATACGTGAGTCATGTTTGAATCGTCATTTAGTGCGCTTCTGTGATTATAACTATTTAGTTTACAGTTGCAGCTAATAATACCATGCAAAAATACATATGGTTGATTCAAAAGTAGAAGATGAATTCTTACATCCAGCACTGATGAAGCGATAGCACAAGCCACAGGATTTCCTCCAAAGGTGTTGAAGTGAACCCCCTTGGCAAATGAGGCCGCAATTTCTGGAAAACACATGAATAAACAAGCTCACACCTCCAATCGCTGCTCTTTCAAATAGCGAGGCTGTTTTAAGCTTGTTTAGTGGAGAGAGTGCAAACTCTGAATTCACAAAATGAATCTGCTTGAAACATCCCTATCTGGGAACCCAGGTTGTAATGTCTTGCTATGCATCTTGCCAATTTAATAGTGGAAATAAGGACGAAAAATACACTTTGCACACTCACTTGTAACTATATTTATTCTTTTCCAAACATACAAGCAGATTTTCAAACAAGATTTTCACATCTTAGGCTATTATCTCACCTGGTGTTGTAACAACAGCACCCATTGGGAAACCATTACCAATGCCCTTCGCCATCGTAACCATATCAGGAACGACGTCATGACCTTGGAAGCCCCAGAAGTGGTTTCCTGTTCGCCCAAATCCAGTCTGGACCTGTCAGGTGCAAAGAAGATGATTATGTTTATTCAATTCTCATCTTTCGTAAACCTGCAATGCTCAGAATTTGTGTATTACAATGGGTCAAATGACTTTGAGTAATGTGACAGGAGTCACAAACCCACAGAGAATTATCACCTCCTGCAGCAGGAAGCTGTTTTTAGCGAAACACTCTAAAAACTCACTGTTTACTTCCTGCCCAATACCAAACGCCAGACGGGCAAAGTTGGAAGCTAGCTGGTGAACATAGTGGAACATTCATTTAACAGCTAAAGAGCAAGATATCTCCCTCAGTTCAGTGAATATTGGACTTACATTCACCAGGTGGTAGGAAACAAATCTCCAAATCAATGATAGCACCATTTTTCTACAAACAATATCGTTTAAGTTATAAATAAAAAATATTTTAAACATGTGAAATGTGTATCTAACCTCATCAGCAATGCAGACCCCTCCTCTCTCTCTTACAAGTTTGTAAGCCTCCTTGAGGTAGGTTTTAGGGTACTGCACAGCACCTCCGACCCCCTGTACAAATCAAACACATTCACATCCCACAGACCCAACACCGGCCGGCAGTCGTCACGATGAACACGAGGAAACAATGAACATGGAGAGCATACTAACAAAGTACTCTGTTCTCACTTGTCAGCTAAATAAATTCATCATTTACTTGCTATTACTGTAAATACATACAATCCATAATGTTAATATCCATTGTGACAAAGCAATAGATCCGACATACAAAAACATTAGCAACACGTTGACACTAAGACTACATTTCTTGTAATTCTCCACAAAATAATTTAGTACCTGAATCGGCTCTGCAAAGAAAGCAGCAATTTGACTTGGGACACTAGTAGCAAATGTCTCTTTGAGCTGTCCGATGTACTGGTCATTTGCCATGCAGTGACCTGTGGGATTAAACAAAGGGTTTATTTTAAACTAATACAGACAATAGCATGTGAATACAAAGATAATGCTACCCTTCATACAAAAGCTACGGGCAAAATATTGTTAATCATCTTTCAATGAAATAGTATCATGAAAAAATGATCATAATAGTTCACAGTTTATGAATGAATGACAGTTAAAGCTAACCAGAATCAGTCACATAGTAAGATCCTAACTTGCTGAACAAATACGAAACACCTTTTTGTTGTTGTTGAGATTTCACTTGTTCCACCCTGTTCTAATATTTTTGCAATTGTATTGTATTTTGTGGATTGAGATGGAATCACCACGATATAAATGTTGTCCTAATTTTCCACATTTATAACAACTAACAACTATATCCCAAGCACGGCAGCAGAGTTGTTATTGATGGATATTGATGTCCTATAACAGTTGTTTGTTTTGCATAAACTGTCATGTAGATACGTTTCTACATACTATGCTAAAATGCTAAAATTCCGGAAAATGGTAAGACGTTGAAAGAGGTTAATGATCAACAGTAGGAGACTTTGGACCTTTCAGGGTTACAACTGACCTGTTTTACCCTCATGACTGTTAGTCAGATATTAGAGAAAGAAACACAATTGTCATACAGATCTGTACAGAAATATAAAATTAGGTAAATACTTTCAAATGTTCTTTTCACCTTGGATGATGACAAAAACACTCAAAGTCAATAATTTACTCCAACAAAAGATGCAGTTTTATGTGTATGTTGTGCTGCATGTAAATTCATATGCAATCAAAAGTAACAAAAATAAAAATGCACGCAACCTCCAGCAGGAATAATTGTTTATCACTGACTGTGCATGAACGCAACACATCAGAAGACAGCAAGGTTAATGTTTCGTAGGAATATTGCAAAAGGGGTCAAAATTATTAATTTCACAGTCAACCAGAGTGTTGTTTTTCCTCTTTATGAGAGCCGTGTGAGTGTTTTGAGACGCGGGTTCACGTGTTCGTGTACCTTGGGCGCAGCCGCAGTCTCTGATGGTCTGCACAGGAGAGTCTCTGCAGTGGCTTCCTCCCCACGGACCTCTGAACACATCAGGACACATCGTCTGTTTGTTTGGGGCAGAAACCATAGTCAGCTAGATCAACCTGACAGCAACAGTCACTCATAATGAACGCAGCACAAAGAAATCATCAGGCAACTTGGAATGTTCATTAATGCACTTAATATATATATGTACTAAGCGGCAGTGAGAACATTAAAAAAAACTAATTAGCTCCAACATATTTCATGTTCAGGAACGCATTGCTTGGAATCTATTTTTAAGGCAGATGCTGCCTGAGCAGTGTGTGTGTGTGCATGTGCGTGTGTGTGTGTGCGTGTGTGTGCATATGTTCTTTCTGCTTCTAAGTGGATATACGCACTGATCGAGATTCTTTTTTTGCACAGCACACCTTCCCCTCTGTCTTCTGTGTGGTGATTATTCATCAAACACACCCACCTGGTGTTCATATTTCCATAACCTATATTCACCTTCATTTGAATGCAAATGTGCATCATCAGTTTTATGCGCTTTTAATACGGCACTGTAATATATTCATGCAATACATACATTTGTGCAGCCCAAACCATTGGCGATGGGGTATTTATATGCTGCGTTGGAAGTGAGGCCCATGGTCTGTGGGCTGCCGCCGTGGTATGATCCCCTGGAAGACAAAAACATTTTGGTCATTTAGATTGCAGACAATTAAACTGTCAAGTGTGAAAATTTGTGAAATGCTGAATGACTATAATAACTAAACTTTCGAGAACAACATTTTGTTCATATTCCTCAGTAGGAGCTGAAAACATCAACTGTCTTTTTTAGGCAGTATTAAATTAATACAAAAAACAAATACATTTCTGCAATTTCATATACTTTTTACGTAATTATGACGCAGATGAGGATGTCATAATTCATAAAAAGACTTGTACCTGAAAGTGATGATGTCAAAGTTTCCCGTGTGAAGTCGAGCCATCAGCATGGCCAGGTCATTGGCTTCTGAGCCGCTGTTGGTCAGATATATCACCTGGACAGGGACACAAAGACCAGCAGACATTTTAATCACAGCATACCTATTCATCCAGGATCCTGGTCTCAGCTGATCGGGGGAAACAAATCCACCAATGTACCTTGAGAGGATCTGGCAAGTAGGACGCTAGTTTCTCACAGTACTCATGGAGAGGAGGATAGACGTAAATGTTTGTAGTGTGCCACAGTCGCTTCAACTGCTGCTCTGCAGCTGCTGTTACTTTCCTGTACCCACAGATGTCAGAAATGAGATATTAAATGGTGTTTTTATTAGGAACTGTATACTATATATTTAGCGACACAGTGAAGAGAAAAGGACCTTACGGGTGGCAGTGGCCCACACTGACAGTAGCCACACCAGCAAATAGATCCAGGTATCGCTTCCCGTCCACATCCCACACCCACTGCATGTGTCCCTGGTGGATGAACACTGGTTTCTTATAGTAGGTAACCTTCATGATCATGGGGTTGCAGGTCTGCCTGCGGATCTCCATCATCCGCTCTTTGGACATACCCTGGACAGAGACAAATACACAGTGCGGGAGTTACAGTCAATGGCATGTTTATATCTACATTTTATATACTTGCTGATTACTGAATACAAGGCCCAACTGTACGAGACAGAGACACTGTATTCCTGGAGGACATTGTTCTTTATTACCGTATATTCCTCTGGTTTGAAATTGCATGGGGGCATATCTGGGACGTCTGTGGGAGGGGGCTTGAGGGGTGATTTCTGACATAATGCACCTGCGAAACAATTGTGATTGAAGTTCAGACAGCGAGGTAAAAGAGACATGTATTCTTTGAGGAACTACGTTAGCTGACAGCGTTAATTGGCTGATCAAAGCTTTATGTGTGACATTCGAGTCATTTGTGAAAAAAACCTGTCAGTGACATTTTACACTTATTATACAGACCGACATATTTTTTATTTGAAACAGTGTTGATGCTGTTATTGTTTATGTAAAATTCAGACTCTCAGTATATAATCTGCAGAAAACCTGGCTTACACTCTAACCACATCCATTCACCTGACCCTGCATTGTGTAACACAGGATAAAGTCCTGCCTGTTAACTCCCCATTGTAAAGTGGAATGAGCACTGGTCTGGTTGGTCCAAATTAGACTGAAATATTATTCTGCAACTATATTTTAAACGCCTTCTGCTGCAATTGAATTTTACAAGTACACTCGTTTAGTTCATCCTATCAAATATGAATAATGTCAGGCTAACATCGCTAAAACTAATGCAGTGCAACACAACAGTCCTGCAATAACTTACCTAATTAATACATAATAATATAATAAATAAATCCTACCACGCCAAACCTAATAAAAAAACATGGTCAATCGTGACAAACTGATGTTTCTTTAGCTATAGATATCTCCACAGTGCAGCCCTCCACATTTCCTTTGGCACCTAAACGTTTTCACAAAAAACTTTTGTGCTGAGAATATAACTTTTATTTTCACTTTTGTTATCCAATAACATTAACGCCATATTTTGACACCAATATACATGCAAAACAGATTTTAGTGTGTCATTATGTTACTGTGTTTAAATAAAGGCACATTTACTTTACGTCGTCTTTAAGTTCATGGTGTACCTTTAACAATATGCGCTCCTATTGTGTGCTATCAGACAAAGTGCTTATTCGTGAAATAGGGGAAGAGGAATTTGCAATGAGTTACTTCTGTTTAGTAGGGGGTCGGACATTTCCGAGTGCCGAGTTTTCTTAATTTAAATTCAACCTAGGGTTATACATGTAGCATTAACAGACCATAATAAACCAACTAACTCACCACTTGCCAAGTGGAATTTGACCGAACCGGACCGAGAGCAGGACTGGCCTGTTAAAGCACAGCGGCCACTTAGAGAGGAAACAACTTTCAACATGTTGAGCACGTTAAAGGGAGCAAACAGCTATCCGACTCCCTTTACCGACTGAAACTCTGCAGCAGACTTCACGCTTTTCTGCACCTGTTCGTCAATGACCATCCGGTGGCCTCTCTGCAACGTCACAGGATGCGTGCGCACGTGTAAACAAAATGTCAAGGAAATTATTTTTTTTAAATGGAAAAATTGTTGTTTTTTGTTCTCCCAAAAAATTCCATTATTTATTCATCTATTAAAATATTTGTGTAAAATAAACGATTACACGTTAGTATTGAAAATAAGTGTGCTACATGAGGAATAGTCATATTTGATTGTTGTTTCAAATTGCATTTTGTATATGGGTGGCTGTTTATAAAGCTAGATACATATACATGGAAAAGAGAATAAAGGGTAAAACACAGCCATTTATCATTGCTAAATAACAGAGGACGAATTGGCCAAACAAGTATCATGACACTATTTTCCTATTCAAATGTTCTGCGCCATGAATTTGCTTAACTTTTAGCTGAGGTGAGGAAATCAAATATATGTTTATCTTTCAACTTTAACAATATTTGTATGGAGCCTCTACAGAATAATGCATGTACTAGTACTTGAATTGAAACTGTTGTTGCAGTACCCCGTATTGTTTTTAACATGTAATGTTCAGGGAGCAGAGAAAATATGCACAAACAAATTTTAAACAAAACTAAAATATTTTATGTTCAAGCTTTCTGCCATTTTGATTTTACACAAATAATTTTAACTCATTCTCACATTACAACAGCATTGATCAATATATTTCACGAAAGGCATTAAAAAAAGTTAATGAAACATTCCTGCGAGAAAGATTTATGAAATATAAATACATATAATTAATCATAATGACAGCATATGGTAACACACAATGTATACAATCAATCATTCTTCATCAAGTTGAATGAATATTATTATTTATATCATTCAATCAAATTATTTTGGATTCTCAAAACGTGTAACTGCAGTGTAATCAGAGAAAATACGTCTCACACATGAGAGTCAGTGTTTTTTTGTTTTAGTCCCGGCCTAAAACAGGTCTTGCAGTGTCCCAGACTTACCAGTTGGGCTTACGGGACACCTAACAAGTGTGCAGTGTGCACATGGTGGCAGAGTCAACATAGCCATTCACTATCGGGGCCATTTCGTCCTGTACCGGCATGGCAGTGTAAATGCAGGCTGAAGGCTTCCGCGTATTGCTAACTGTGTTCAATGTGTGGCAGTTCCCTGTCCCTTCATTCGTCTCCTGGTCCACACAAGGGCACCTGTCCTCTTCCATCCCCTCTCTCTGGAGCAGCAATACGTTGTCACTGTCCACCCCCTTCACCTTGCTGTAGACCTCCCCCTGGGGCACCTGGAAGCAGCCCTCCATGCGGCCGCAGCCCGACACAACGGGCTGGAGAAGCACCATATCCTCGTTGTTGACCCTTTGGACTTCGACGTACTCGGTGGTGTGGAGAGCGGGTGACCGCAGACCAGCAGGTGCCCGCTTGAGGCCGATGCTGGATATGTTGACGTCGCTGTGGGCCTCGAGTTTTCGGGAGACCAGCGTCTGGGGAGTGAGCAGGTGAGGCTGCTTGCCGCTCAAGCAAAAATCCCAGTAGCTCTTTCCGAGAGCCTCCTTGGCGCTGTGGAGGTAGGAGGACGTGGAGAGGGAATGCTGTTTCGCCATCTGAAGTGAGCTCTGTTGGTCCAGTGGGCTTGGGCTGTACCAGGGCAGTGGAGAAAACACAGAGGGCCAGGTCTTCACCCTCCCACTGGACATGTCAGCGCTAACCACGTCTCCGTGGGCATAGGTCAACACATCCTTCAGGCGCCTCTGTGCCTCAGTCCTTATCTGACTGCATCCCTGATCTGTTTGCCTCCTTTCCTCCTTTGCCTCCCCGCACTTATCCATCAGCAGAGTGTGGCTGTCGCAGCTGCCTCGGCCGGAGTCGCTGTCAGATGTGGAGCTCTCTGATTTGAGGCAACCATGATGTAGATCCTTGCTTTCCTCCAGCACCAGCTCCTGCTCCCCGGGGACATAAACCTCTAAGTACTCCACCAGCAAGTCCTCGTCATTAGAAGATGCTGTCGGAGGGAAGTCAGGCATCACCAGTGCACTGAAGATCTCGTTAGATTTGCCATTCTACACACAAAGAGGAATATTCAGTTACAGAAAAGTAGCGATACAATCAGTCAGAAGTAACTTTTCTAATTCAAAAATGATTATTTGGAGAGTTTTTTAAGTCAAAACATTGTTCTATATGTAGCTGCTTTACCTTGAGAAGCTGCTTATCAAATCCTTTAATCTTAGGACCAGGGACGGGTGGCAGAATACAATGCTTCAGACTTCACAAATGAAAAAAAAAAGGAGATCTATGTCAGGGCTCGTGAGAAGCAGATGAAAATAAATAAATCAACACTTCTTTTGTTGTGTACTATATAAACCCAGAGTATTATTTTATGACCATAACATTTTGTAATTAAACTGTTTCAGTGTAAGATTTTCATTATGTTGTAATAACAAAATTATCATTTAGTTGCCAATAATAGGAAATAAATACAAATAACAACTGTTACAAATGACAATAACATTGGTGCTGCTCTGGACCTCTGTTGCGTAAAACATGTCACATGTATTCGTATTACAAAAAAAACACATTGCATCAAAAATTCATGACCATTGTCTTACTTGTGTCTGTTCATGTGTAGCAACCACACGAGGATGAGGAAGGTAAAGGCAGAAAAGACCGTTATGAGGATCCATGCTGACTTCTCTCGATGAAAATCTGTAAGACACAACACAGCACTGTGAGTGTCTTGTTATATTTCTTCCTATGGTGGTTATTATTACTGGATATTAGAGGAGTATGTATCCCATTAGCATTAGTCAAAGGAATAATTCACATTTTGAGAAATGTGTCAGATCAGAGCATCTGTCTGTTCATTAAAGGACTGAATTCAGGATATAATTAGCTTAACTTAGCATAAAGACAGGGGAACAGATGTTTTTTTAACTTTGGCGACAGCCAGGCTTGTCCTTTCCCACAGTTTCCAGTCTATATGCTAAGCTAAGCTAACCATCTCCTGGCTGTAGCTTCAGTTGTGGTTTTTGGGTTTTGTTGAGTTTATTTCCTGTTTTATGTTGAAGTTCCCTGCCTCTTATGTCCTTTGTTTTACTTCCTGTCTTTGTCTTGTTCCCACCTGTTTTACACCACACCTGTGCGTCATTAATTGATTAGCCTCTTGTGTATTAGTCCGTGTGTCATTGTAAGGTTGTCTGCCTTTGTTTGCTGATGTCTACGTTCCTGCGTTTGTCCCTCATGTTCCTAGTTTGATTTCCTGCCCACTTACTGGTTTGCCTTCAGTTTGGTTCTTGTTGTTTGTACTTTTATTTGCCTCAGTTTCTTGTCGGTTTTGCCCATTGTACCAGCTTTTGTTATTACAGCTCGCTTTCTGTTCAATTCAACCTGCCTGCCTCGAGTCCTTCATTCGGGTCCTCCTTTTGATCTGACATGCGTGACAGCTTCATACTTAACAGACAGGGTTGAGTGGTACTATTCAATGCATCGGACTCTCGGCAAGGAAGTGAATATGCGAATTTCTCAAAATCTTGCACCATTCCTTCAATAAATGCATTATATCCTATTAAAAATAATGTGTATTATACTGTACATAGTCGTGTATAGATGTCTTACAGTCAGGAACTTTGATGTAGGAAGTGGAACTCCATTCACTCCAAAAGCCATGGTCAGGTTTACAGCGCACCTCTACAAGGTATTTACCACCTGACCGCAGGCTGAAAATGTTAAACATCTTCTGCTGGCCAGCAAGGTGCATCTGGAAATAAACACACACAGTTAACACAATGTGAGCGGTTATGCAGTCCAGTCGGCCCTCCAAATTGTCAACATTATAAATGTTATATAGCAAATGATTTAATGAGAAAATGAATCCCTTGGTAAAACATTTTTGAGGGTGAGGTTAAAGAAGACGTTTTAAAGGGTAAATTTAACAGCAGGGCAGTTCATTACCAGAGGACTGAACATTTTTACCACCGGTCCACTCCCTTGGACGATGAAGTACGTACCTCCCAGTCATTCTCCTCCTCCAACTTGACGCGGAGCTCGTAGATGAGAGTGATCCAACCCGAGCGGGTGTCAGCCTTATGTGGCGGTTCCCATGACACACGGAGGAAGGGCCAGCCCTTGTCCTCCATTACAGTCACTGTTACCTTCTCTGGAGGATTAGGCTTGACTGGAGGGGGGGAGAGAGACAATGTGAATGAGAGTGGATGTGTTTTGTGTGTGTGTGAAACTGAGAGGGATGAAGAGAAAAATAATTGAAGTTGATAATATTGCTCATAACACAGTAATAGAATAGGAGCCGACTGTGTAAGGAGTGTCCCCTGTAGACAGGAGTGTGTGCATGTCTCTTTCTCTTTGTAATAGTAAACCAATGCACACCTCCAGCGGAGGAACACTGTCATTGCAGCAGTGACTTTACAAATATTTGTTGAAGCAAATGTTAATGTTCAGGCTTTAAGTTATCTTTTTGGAGACACAAAGTTGACAATGACGAAACACAATAAAAGGTTGTGACTGATACCAACCAAATAAATTTAACTATTAAAGAGGAAGAGGAGCACTTTTATATAAGCAGCCTGAAGGGCAAGGAGGGTACTTTGTGTCTTTTTAATTCTTTACGCTCCCTTTTGGATATTTCATGAACAACATGCTTTTTTTCAACATGACAGAGACTCCACACCTCGTACAATATTCATATATTGTTATATAATATGAAGTAGAGTTGCCCAATATTCAAATTGAATCAGATGTCAGATGAAAGAAAATGGATGGAATCATTCAACATGTTTCTTGTCATCAATAAATTCCATGAAAAGACCAAAACCAGCGAGTTAGTTCATCTCTCAATACATTCAAATATCCTTATCCTGTCTATGGCCTTTATCCTCATGCCTCATTTGCTATTACTTTTACTATAACTTTTTTTGAGGGCTAAGTAATTTCCTTAAACAGGGGGACCCTATTGATTTCATAACGCGTCATTAAAAGAGGAAAAATAAGTTTTAGCCACGGATTAATGCGTATTTGGTGCTCTGGTGAGTATTTCCACCAGCAATTGTATATGTTGCATTTGTAAATTTCCTTACCAATGTACACCACATCTATTTCCACAGGGTCCGAGAAGACCCTGCCCAGGGCGTTGGTGGCCACTACTGTGATGTTGTAGTTGACCCAGATGGATGTGTCCTTCTTGTTAAAGAAGCAGGAGTTCTCTCCAGCTGTGTGGTAGTCCGGGCACTCGTACACTGTCTCAGAGCTGCAAGAGAGGCAGGGGAACAGCATGTCATTGCGTTTGTACTGTGCTCCACTGTTACATTTCCTAAGAACAGCATGCGCTCTTCATGCTACATTTCCTCAAACTCTGTGTATGTGTAAGATAACTGGGTTGCCATGTTTTTGTGAATTGCAGGCAGAAATGGAAGAAAACGTTCTGAGCCATGAAGTGCATCAAAACATAATAATTCCTGTTATTTCCTTCTTATTTCCTATACTCTCCATTAGCCCTTTTTGTTATCTGTACTCTTTTTATGTTGTCCTTTGATGCCTGCAGCTCGTGTATTATTGGGTTTGCGTCTTCTTCTTCAGGTCACTGTCAGAAGCTACACAACCGTCTTTCGTACTACAGCTTTTTTCTCATCTTCTTTTCTTTCCAAGAGGACATGGAAGTAGCTTCGCTGACGTGCTGTGTATGAGCATCTGGCCCCCGTTACGGACACTTAGCTTTCAAATTCCAGTGGACCTGGTTCCTCTTATGAACACAGCTGGGAATGTCTATGTTTAGAAAGCTAGAGGATTGTGTCATTGCTGTTGGCGTTGATTGGTCAGAGGATCTGTAAAGTAGAGGGAAGATCTCGGAAAGATGGTTTAAGCCTCTGCATGCATTACGTTCACCCAGTGGTGAAGTGAAAGGAAGTAGCTGGCGGCTACTCTGAGGATGGTGTATAGTAGAATAAATCCTCCCCAGTCCAATGGCAAAGGTAGCCAGTGACCCGAACCAGGTAGGCAGCTCACTAAATAACTGCTTTCAAGACATCCAATTGTGTTTTCTGCAATTGCTGCAATGACAATAAGTTCTATTACTCTTCTATGTGGATGTGACGTCCTCATCTTTGCTGACAAAATCAGACCTGCTGCTGAATTCTACATTAGACTTCTCTCTTGATGATGAACAATACATCCTTGTCACTGCATGTAGTCGGAAGCCACTAACCTTTCTTTGCGATAGTACAGTGCGTGGGTAGTGGGCAGTCCCCCGTCAGAGCCGGGCTTCCACCAGCAGGTGAAGGTCTCTTTTTCAGGAGAACGACAGCTGGTGAGTGCGGGCTTCCCTGGCGGGCTGTGTACTAAAGACAAACAGGGAAAAGAGGAAATGAAAGCAGTGCTAATTATATAACAATATAAAGAACGACAGATGTGGATTTACAATGATGTTTATAAAACCACAAAAATATCCACAGAAAAACAACACCATTGCTTGTCATATTGTGCAGCTCTGGTTTCTGTGCTTCTACATCTAGACACTTACGATTTCCCGTTGAATGCGCCGTGAAGAACAGCAGCAACACCAGCAGGATGACTTCAATGACTTTCCTCATTATGGCTCCTCAAAGCCTTTGCTGTTGGATGGGGAAAACATAAATACAAAATGACAGGTGAGTGTGGGGGTTAGTCAGACAAATCATGTTAGCCACGTTCGATGCTATCCATCACAACAGCAGAACTGCACATCTTGTGTTGAGTCACAACACACTTTGAAGGAAAACTGCCCGCTGTAGCTGAGATGTTTTCTTATTGTCACACACCTTGCTTGAGCGTTAAGTCATACGTGTAACACTTCAATTAATTAAAATCCCCTGAAGACATAATTAGGAAGAGATAATGTAGAAGGATGCCATCCGCAAGTGAACTGTTCAGAAAATTGGATACAATACTTCTGAGATCGTTTTATGCTTCAGCAGGGATACCGAATATAATTCAAACACAATTTGTTTGAGAACAGAACATTCATGTCTTAAACTGATTAATTATGTTACTGTTAAATGAAACCCAATAGGACTATAGAACGTTAAATATGGCGAACTGAAAGAAAATCTCCTATCAACGATGTCTGCAGTTTCACTAAGGATTAAAAAACATCCTCTCCGTTTCTGTCTACCTCTACCAGCTGGCACATGCAGCGTGACTGATTGCATAAGTTCAGGCTGTTGCCTCAACAACAGAGACACACAGCGGTAGAGTGGTGTGCCCGACTCCCATTCGCATGACTTGGAAATCTGCAATTCCCTAGCCATGTGCAGATGTTTGAGCTATTACCGAACCCATGGGGCCGACTGGGAGGGGGGGGGGGGGGATTTGACCTCTTGACTCGCTTTACTCCATTGACGCAAGGAAAAAGCTATATAGGCATGCATGCTCCCATTCTGACATCACACATACTGCCTTCAAGATGATCTGCCTTCCCACACCCAGCCTTATGAACCTCGGAGCCATTACATGAGTAGCACGCACGATAGCAAATGGCAGCGATCACTTCATTCTGAAATTAAATAAAGTTTAGTCTAAATAAATACTATTATATGCAAATTACTCCTCTCTATAACACCCCCAATGTATAAGGCAATCAAAAAAAAAAAAAACAAAACATGGAAAACTGATGCAAAAAATGTCTGAAGGCACAGGTACCAGGAACTGGAACATAAGAAATGAATTTCGCAACAGACATTTTCGTCAGGCTTTTCTAGTGTTCATTCCCCACCCACACGACCATCTGTGTGCTCCCACAGGCCTTACATGCAGTGACATGGCACCACACGTTTCTTTTTGGTTATGATTTTTCCCCTGTGCACACTTTAACACGATATACAGTGAGCTGTATGTAATATTTTGAAGAATGTCAGTTGGAAAATAGTGGCGCACACTCTGGCTCAAAATGCATTTATTTTAGTCTGATGACGTTTCAGCCCTCAGGCCATTTTCAAGCTCAACATTGAGAATGTCAACACATCACCTTGACTTCTTGCCAAGTATCTTGGTGAGTTGACACTGTGTGCATTTTACGAGCCGATGGGCCTCATGGAGGTAGCGATGCACAAACGAATTTCCTCATGTTTTTGTTCTTATTCTGTTAGTACCCATTGATTGGATTCACCAATTTTTTCCTATTTTCGCTCTTTTCTTAGGTAAGAGAAAATATCTAATTTTACAGTCCACAGTTTGTTTGTCAACGCAAGAATGTAGAAATTTGACTTCAATAACAGGCTCCAAGATTGGTCAGGTTTTCTACTTTTACAGTGTCTTTGCGGGCAGCATGGCTTCAAGACGTTACACTTCCTTAATATCATAAAGACTGTCGTCAAGTGACTGTTACCAACTGTTTTTTACGGTGCCTAAATATCAATAACGTCACCATGATCTGATAATTGGCATTAAGGTCAAGGCATTGGATTAGCCTCCTGCTGCATATAGCCTTCTTACGTAACCAGTAGCCCAAACTGAATAAGCTGCTAAGCTGGGAAAGCGCTGGCCAACAGTGAGAAGCTCCTCCCTCACAGATAATAATGGCCTGGACTTTTCTCGGTTTTACCTCAGGAGACACTTTTAATGTAATGTACATCCGTCCACCGTTACGCTCATCATAGAATGCCAACTTACATTTAACTGCTTGTTTGCTGACGCACTGTTCAGCATGGTGACCTTATGTACTGCACAGATAAAATGACAAATATACACTTGAGAAAATGACATACAAGCAAACAACATTTAAGGTAAATATGTAAAATGTTTTGAAATTGAGCACAATCTCTACTGCAGATGAATAATGCACCAGAAGTGTAACTGTATGATCTATAAATTCACTAAAAAACTAAAAAAGAATATGAAATGAGTCAGTCAGGTCATCCTAAGACCTAAAGTCAGACGGGTGATTATGAGTAATTTACAACTTGTGTTCGTCAGCTGCCTCTCAATGTCAAAAGGGGTGGAGAGGACGTGCCAAATGACATGTTAAGGTAAAACAGTGAGCCGTGAGGAAAGAAGATCCCCACGGGGCATGGTTGTACGCCAGCACACCTTTGCAAATAGGGAATGTTTTTTTCTCGTTCACCGAAAGACACACCTGAGCACCACAAAAGCAGAACTACAGGAGTCCTGTTTCCAAAGATACAATATTTCCTCAATGATTTACTGCACGGTCACGTGATTCGGTTTCACACAGGAGATCAGCAGGTTTGGCATGTCAGAAATGTGGCTTGACGAAACAATTACTCGAGTATCTATCCTCTTATAAGCAAATATAGATAGTGTAGGTTACAATCAGTAAATGTATCCACGAATTAAAGGAATATGTAAAGAATATTCCAGGCATAACTCACACTGCTTTCATATCATAACGTCGGCCTGTACTCCTGCTCAGACTGAAGCGGAGTAAACACTTCCAGGAACTATAAAAAACAGGTTTGTTCATCAACACCCACGACTTTCTAGGAACTTTTTCTTTTCTTACCGGGGCATTCAAGGAAAAAGACCAACAGAAAACAAGACGTAAAACTTGAAGTTGCTGTGTACATTTTAAGGAGATGAACACTTGATTTTAATGAACCCATGGTTGAACTTTTAGTCATACTACTGGTGGATACTGAATACTGTCTGACACAACCTAGGAGTAGTATGATGACAATATAAGATCCCAGTTTAATACCAGTTGATATGTAGTTTCAGGTGACGTCTGTAATCCTTCATCTTTTGCTCCGTAAAAAATTAAATTTCACCGCAAAAACATAGTTGGAGATATCCTCCACTGTACAGGCAGGGTTCAAAATGCACCGAGACTGAGCTCAAAGAACAGCTCTGTGACACACATTCTGCATACAAAGACACAAGCACAAGCATGTAAGCGGTGCACACGCATGTACGCGGTGCACATGCATGGTGGTGCTCACTTACACATAAACAGCCATGTGCATGTGACTGCATTCATGAATAAACGATCCCCAGAGTGCATTTATGTCAACTACAGACAATAAAACTAAACACAAATCATCCGTCACCTATTTCCGCAATGTTCCACTTAAAGTTACTGCAACCCTTCTTTCTTCATTGTTGTTGTTCATTCATTGTACTTCCTCTATTGTCTTGGCCAGCCTGTATCCTGTGCCCTTCTGTGTTCTTTGAAGCACTCATGCAGAGAAAAAAAAAATGGATTTCAAGGACAGCAGATGACACACCCTTTCCCTACCTGCAGCAATAATGACGTCACTGACTGGGCAATAATCCGTGTTTATAGAAGACCAATACAGCTCAACATGATGAATTGAACATCTGATTTCTCCTGACATAGCTGGGGTGTCAGGGATAGTAAGTGGCTCTGCCAGGATACGATTGCAGCCGCAGGTATGTGGTGGGTGCAATAACATCCCTACTCACCTCCATCTGGTTTGTCTTCACAAATGGAAAACATTGAGTGTGATAGTTGTTTGATTACAATCATTTTGGGAGAGTGCATTAGTAAGTACCTGCCTTACATAATAAAGTTGTGAAGAGAATTTATTATCGCGAGTCACCACTTATTTTACCGATTTCTGTGTGCGCTACAGCAGCAGCAGCACCAACCACTACAATGAAGCTTGCAGGTTCCAATCCAGCCAATGCAAACACAGGTATGATATGTGTCACATGATATGGGCTCGGCATCACCTGTACGGAGCATATTCATATTGCAGTACACTTTATCTAATTTCAAAACATGGGCACAAGCAAATCTACAGCTGCAGGTAGCAAACAAAACTGCAGGACTAACAGTGGAAAGAGTCAGTAAACTGTAGCCACCTGAAATTGTAATCCGATATTAAGTTGATCAGCTTGCTATAATGGCCAACAGCCTCTTTAACCTCTTCTTACCCAGAGCAGGAGCAGATCATGACCCTAGAAATCCCATTAGACTGCTGACACCCCAGCATCATCATCCTCCTACGCTGAAGGAAATAACCTGCCAACCAGTCAGCTGTCAGCAAGGGAACACGTCTTCATCCAGAGGGGCACAAAAATAATATAAACTCATTTGTAGATAACTTGTTGATAAACTGTATTGCTATTTCCCTCTGAATTACTTGAATGCGATGTCAGTAGGACAATTAAAAAAGTCGTTGTGTGTGCACAAAAAGTGCTTTACAAATGAGGTCTGACTGATTGATGTTTGCAAGCCACATAGATTCAATTTGGCTTCAGGCAAAACCACATGATCTGGAAAAACGTCACTCTCAAAGGCTGACATCCAAGAATGCTTTTTCATCTCGATCTCAGCTAATAATGAACTATTTAACATTTCTGCAAGCATCAACAAGTTTGATCTTCTCTCTTCTTTATTTTGTGTGACAGATTTTTATATTATTTTGGCAAATGAACACAAACACACACACACACACACACACACACACACACACACACACGCACACGCACACACACAATAAGTGCAGTGACCTCTACGTGCTCCCGGCCTCTACCTGGTCCTGATGATACATTAATCTGTCCTGAGAAGTAAATTGATGTCTTACCAGCATCTGAGAGGAGTTTTCAGTCTCTCGCCCGGAGCCTTAGCCGTGGTGACTCCTGTGCCGGCTCCCAGAAGAGCGCACGTACCGGCTTGTATTGCTTGGATGACAGCGAACAAGCCGTATAAACCGGATGCTCCGTGCCGCCGGCGAGGTAATCGCAACATCAACTCTCCAGTCTCTCTGATCCTGAGGAGGGCGGGGCCGAGGAGCACCCCCCGCCCCCATGTAAACCCCGCCCACGGCTCGGCTTGCCATCGTTGCCACGGACCAAGGTGATGGTCGAGGTGAGTTTGACATCAGCAGAAGCTCCCCAGAGGCGTCACCAGTTACATTTAAAACTTCAATATCCAATTCTGGTCATGGAAATAGATTTGTTTTGTTACTGCCCAATCTATATT